TTGCAGGAAGTTACAGGAAAAATTATCCCGTACTCCAAATTCCTCCAAAGTCCTGTGAATGAGAGCGATTTTTGGAGAGTTGTGTAGAGAATGAAGTTACAAAATTTTACCCGAACTTTTCTCTTCTTCTGGTAAAATCATGAAAAGCGTCAAGCGATCACTGGTTGACGTTTTGACAGGAAAAATGCCTTTTTTGTTCCCGTACTTTTTGTTGTTACTCACTTTTTACTCTCACTTCAGAGAGTAATTTTGCTGTTTGACGTTTTTGCAGGATTTTACACGAAAAGTATTGAATCAGAGCTAATGTTTAATGGATTTTCTCGTGCATGGCATTTTTTATACCGGAAGTACCGATATTTCCGCTCCACTGTCATTTAAGAAATTGAATTTATTCTCTTTGTCATAAATAAACAGGCGACGTGTTCAAACGTCCAAATTGCCGTTACTTGTCGACGCGACCAGGGTTGATTTTTGCTTATTTTAAAAACTGTTTCTTGAAAAAGTACAACGTTGAACGCATTTAAAAGCGGATAGCATTTTCGTTTCGTTTTCTTGAATTTTTTTGCTTAATTTCATTTAGTTCGAAAGTAAAATTTTTGCAAATAAGTTCATGTGTTTTGAGAAAATTTTTAGAAAAGGATTGCTTCCCTTTTGAATTTTGAATATTTAGTATTAACCAAAGCTTCTTCATCATTGTTAATTATTCCAATTAACGGTGAATTGTTAAAATTAGAATTTGTTAACGTAGTTGTGTGTTTTATTTTGTGATAAGTGCAACAGTGTCACAATAGTTTCTGCGTAAGAAAGTACAATTTGAATTTATAGAAACTGTTTGATAGTATTTAATAAATATCAAAAATTAAATAGGGTATTATCAAACGATGTATTTATGTTTCCACTTCGAACAAAAATAAGTGTTAAAGTTATACTAATGTATATTAAAAACTAGAACAATACAGCTCACCAATTCGTGAATCTTATGCTGCGTTAAGTAACGTTCACTTAGTTTTGAAACTTAGGACTAATGTCTCCATCAGAAGAGGCCTTCAATAGCAATTAAACCCTTAAAGGGTAACGTTATTTTACATACTTTAAAGGTAACCTTCGTCGAATCGACGAAGTACTTTTTAACTTCCATATTTTTTTTATGAAAATAAACTTTTAATAATTATGAAGCCTAACCAGAAAGAAAACACAGAGGATATTTAGTATTTAAGCTTCTTTATATATATTTTAGAGCAACTCGCTCTTCAGTCCAATGGCGACAAAAATGGAAAAAGAGCAACAGTGTTCGTCAAATCGACGAAGATTACCCGTTCAGGGTAAAATATGTATTCTAACAAACTAGCGACTTTATTTCTAAAAAAAAATCACTTGTGCATATCTATGTATGTACACACGTACATAAATATACGTATACATAGACATAAGCCTATTAGGGAGGTCTTTAAATGTAGAAGGGGCACATTTTTTCATAAGATTTCCTAAGCGTCAACTCGTACGTCGATGCTACTATGGACACCTCTATGGAGACTCAAAAAATTAAACTTATTTTTTTTTTCATTTAATATCCAAAATTGATACTCTAAGCTCGAAGATATCATACATAAATTTTGGCCCCTATTGGAAACGGTTAGGGCGTGCCGCACAGCGGTCAAAGTTCAGATTACCCTAATGAAGACGCCTTAACCTACTCCAATCGGGACCAAAATATATATGTGATATCTTCGACTTTAGATAGAATATCGATTTTGGGTATTAAATGAAAAAAAAAATATATGTTTAATTTTTTGAGTCTCCATAGAGGCACCCCTTTGCGACGCGGCTTAGCAGATTCCCATCGGGTATTACCAATTGGGGGGTGAGACTGAAAAATCGTTCATTTGTTTTTTGAGGACCACCCTAATGTAAATACATACCCATTTATTTATGGTGTTTTTCAGCCTTTTCTTTTTGTGTAAATATTTTCTTTTTTGAATTTTTGATTTTCGAATTTGGCCATGCCAGAAGTTGAAGATATTGGACAAGGCATGCCTGTTCCTCTGCTATGGCGCAAGGACCAGTAGTGAGGGCAAGAACCCCGCCCAGCCGACATGACTAGCCACAGTGCGCCCGATGTGTCTTGCCGGCCTGCACTCACTAATGCTCCCGCAGTATGCGTTCCGTAACAATGTTAGATTATAAGTATCTATTTCTGTGGTGGTGTATAGTTTAGTTTTTAAACCAAGCCAAGATCTTTAAATTTACAAATGCAATGTAATGTATAGTTACATAGGATTTTCATTACATGTCACTTCCATTCTCTCTTTTTCTATTGCAGTGCGACATCTGAAATCTACGCGCATTTAGCCATTAAAAAATAATACAAATCATCAAATGTACAAAAAATGCCATGGAGCTTTCGAAAATTCAACAAAGCATTACAAAGAGAATTAATCGAGAAGAAAAAATCCGATCTTGAATGCAAGAAACTAGAAGGAAGCGCAAGATCCAGATTAACACTTAAAAGTAAATGTTGCCATTGTGAAAGTATAAAGGGAAATCGAAAATTGAATATTAGCAGTAGGGAATTTTTTGGAGGCAGCAAATGTAACTACTTCGGTGGAAGCAACCGGAATTTAGAGTAGCAACGCAGTCAGGTGAAAATTTGTGTGGCAAAGAAAAAAGTTGCACAACTATAGATTGTTGCTTTTGTATAAAATAAAATCGAGTGGCTTCGAAAAAGTACTGCACTGAAAAGATTGAAATGTGAAAGAGTAGGCGCACCGATAGGCGGCAGCAAGTGCAAGGACAGCAAATGGAGCGAACTGGCAAAGTAGCAACGTAGCGACGGCGAAACCTTAGCCGCAAAACGAATTCTAAAAGAAACTGCGACAGCACGTCACAATTCCGCTGTAATAGAAAAAGTTTCACAGCATTTTTCCACACTTTTTTAATTTTTGTGCATGTTTTTGTATTTTAAAGTGGAGAACATACTCCTCACACACACCTACATATGTATATACATACATACATACATACATATGTATGCATGTACGAGCAAAGAAAGGCGCATAGAATTGACAGCTAAAAAGCTTTAGACGTGAACTATGCATTATTTTCCTGTGGTCGGTCAACGCTAAGCTCGTGCCATGTTCCGAACCAAGTGCATAAAATCGTATTTTTTTTTTTGTATAAATTCCTAAGTGTGTTGTGAAAGATATAAAAACTTCTAAAAATGAAAACACATAAATTATGGATACCATGCTCCATGGGAGTTCAGTTGGCGAGAAGATGTACAACAACTCAATCAACTTGGCGTAAATATTTGCTGATTGCCGCCATATTTTTCTTTATACCAGGTAAGTGGATAATTTAATAGCAAAAGTTAATAATTAAATTGTGCGAAAGCATTTAATTTATCCATTTATGTAAAGTAAAAGATGGTGTTAATTTTTTATACATAAATAGCACGGATATTGTACCCTTACATACATACATACATACATATATAGGCGTAAATTTGTACAACAAAGGCATCTGTCCGTCGTAGGAGTAGCTTATGGTAGAACTCATGCTCAAATATCAACGCAGTAAAATGCTGATTTTTTTAATGAAATTTTTATTTGAATACTAAGTACACTGAGAAAAAAGTTGACCGTGCTCCACTTGTTTCAAGCTAAAACACATTTGATTTTGCGCCAAGCGACTTTTGTTAATTTTAAACAGTATAATGAGATTTTTTCATTTGGCCATGATTTCGTTCTGCAATTCACAGATGCTTTTTTGTTAATTAAGAAAAATCGAGAATTATATATTTCGTCTAATGGGATTCGAACCCGGACCGTCCTGGAATCTAATAAAAAGTAGGAAGCATCTTTCTCAGCTACAACCACAACATGTAAGTGTGTGTTCCGCTTGAATCAAGGCCAAATCACGCGATTGGTACATTTGTAAAAATTTGTTTTTGGTTGTTACAGAGCTGCGTTGTTTGGAAATGTTTTAGTAGGCTGAATTCATTCTCTATAAAAATTTCTAGACAACACCATTCTGTGATCGATCAAACAAACATACATATGTTTCCGTTTGTTTAAAAATACTTTTTCAGTTCAAAAATTTCTAATCGCTAACATGGGGAAAACCAAAAAGTTGAAGAAATCATATAACTTTTCTCTCAGTGCAGTCGGACTACATACGGGTATAAAATGAATTTGTTATATTTTCTTGCTACAAGCATCTGTTTTTAAAGTTCTCCCTAATTTTTGACTACTTATCCCCGAGACTAATTATATTGTATAGCACGCCATACTTCAATTTTCAGAATGGTCATCACGTCGCCTGTATGCCTCGGCAGGAGAGCGCCTGATTTCATGCCACTGTGCAACGTGAGGCATATCAAAAATTGTCCAAATGTTGATTTTATTGTAATCATTTTTTTATTGATGCAGTTGGTGTTTACAACTTCCTTTGATTGCGTGTTGGCCAGTCAAAATCAAGTTCCGTTACCCCGTCGTGGTTGTCGCCTGTTGACCAGTAGAACAGATTATGGCAGGCGCGCAGGGTCAAGAGTGCGAATGCGAGTTTTTCGCACTCATGCATACATACTTATATTTATGTGCTCTTTGACTACACGCAGCGGCACTAATAAACTGCTCTTTCATCGCCTTTTCCGGGCTCGCATGCTGAAACAAGTTAAAAAAAATATTTCGACTCCGCTCTCTAGCACTGGTGACGGCAACCGTGACGACGACGGTGGTGGGGTGGTGGTGGTGGTGGTGGCGGTGGTGGTGTAGTCTAATGCCTTTCGCGGTCGGCAATTTGGTTTCGAGTGTGTTTACTGCGCAATGCTAGGACTTGGGGGCGGGTGGAAGGAAGTTGAACATATCCTGCATACTCTACTACACTGCCACTTGGGAGGTGTTTTGCATTGCATTTTCAATCCTCCAACTCTGGGCAATGCGTGTATACGTAATCACGATTAAACTGTCAACGGAATACTAATTAGATTTTGGATGGCTTTTTTGTGGGATTGACGGAAAGTTGCATGCCGGAATACTCATCGGTTCGACAAGCTCACATTAAATGTGTATGCATAGAAGCACGTGAACGCACATAAACAGGCACATTCGTGTGTAAGTATGTACATATGTACCTCTAAATGCAAATGACCGAAAAGCTTTGCTTCTACTTCGAATGGCGTTGTTGGGCGACAGCGTTCGTGGCTTTGCTGGAAAAAAAGGCTTTGACACTCTTTGCAAATAAGTAATTGTGTATGTGCATGTGTGTGAATGGCGTGTTGTGCAAATTTTATTTGAATGCTTTACGGTTGTTTGATTAATGTGTTCACACAAAACGCATACAAACATAATTTATATATATATGTGAGTACATCCTCTCGCAGGAATACACACTGTTCGGTTTTTATAAATTTGACAACGTACTTCGAAATTTAATGCACAGAAGAGGCGCTTGAAATGCTGATTTAGTCGCTGAAAAGGTGGAGAATAATGCGATCATGATGAATTGAGGCCGTTCATCTATTTTTGTTTTGTTTACCGAATGCGTTTTTTATGAGGGATTTATTCTTTTGCCAAAGACTCAAGACTTGATCTTATTAATGGAAGTAATCACCTCTGCAAATCGCAAGCACGAACAATTTCGAACAGAGTTGATTGATTGAAGGAATAATTTCCATTGTTCTTATTTTGATTCAGGCACATTATTATTGCTATGAGCCATAAGCACCGCGATCTCTATGGTGGTCGAGGTGACTACCGGCTACAACCGTGCTAAATGACTACCATCTAATCAGGTTTCCGCTCTACGGTAAATATACGACCTTAGCTTCTGTCCATCTACTGGAAATATGGCACAGTAAGAGCGACGCCTCTGTAGAGTCTAGAGAAGACTGGGTCTATATACTTACTTCCTTGTTGAAGTGGACAAGGTTAGACCACATCTGGTCTTGGTGATTTGTAAGAGCTAAAAGTAGATACCGCCAATTTCACTCTTTCAATGGTGGTGAGTTTAGTTGCAAGGCTTTATTTTATTCCAGAAGTAGATAATAGCTTGCTCTACAACCCGGAAAATGAGTGTCTAGCAGAAGTCTGCAAGTCTCAGCTAGACGCTGAGTATAATTACCATTTGATTTCTTTGTGGTGGTGATCGTATTATTGTGTTCCTTAGTTAGAGCTTTTTGAAGGCGTTCTGCCTCTGGGAGACTATTCATTTCCTAGCAGTGTTTTCCTTTTGGATTTCCGCAATTATTTGTTAGAGGAAGTTAGTTCAAGTTTATACGGATTCCAATAATCCGAAGTCTTTGCCCTATTGAGTAATGTCGAATTCTATGTGCATATGTCCAACACAGATGCTTCTTCTGAGTTGCGCTAGTTTGATGAGACAGACGCTGCCATATTTTTACTATTAAGAGTGAGGTCTAAGACTTCCCCACTAACAGCATTCCAAAATGTTGGTTGTTGCCTTGGTTTATAATTCTTGCACTTATTATAACTACTTATAAACTCAAGCAGGTACTCACCAATTTCGCTGGTGTCGTTGTTCCCCCAAACAGTGCTATGGGCATTTGCATTATAGCAAAGGATTCATGGATTACCGCCAGTAAAAGTGCAGAAAATGTAGCAATTTTGAAGAAAATCGATTATCCTGTTCCAGTTAATAAATCTTACATATTAAAAACAAGCAATTGTAGGGTTCTCTCAAAACGAAAACAAAAAAAAAATTTAACAGAAAAAATTTTAAATGTTATAAAAAAAATCACCAAAATTATAAAAATGTTTGAGTTTCTAGAAAAATGTTGGGTACACAGATTTATAGCTTATTAAATTTTAGTACAATAAAGTGCAAGTTGCAAGTGGCTAAGAGGTCGCGTTGATTTTTGTAACGTTTTGTAAAACTTTCTCTCGCTCTAATTTTATCAATGACATTCCCACCCTACTCCTAAAAACAAAAAAAAAGTGTTATTTCTTTTCCAAATTTCTTTGCAAGTTTTAAGAACATTTTTAGATTTTTAGTAGTATCTAAATTTTGCCTTTAAAATTTGAAGAAATGATTGTTTTTCATTCGCTGGCGACAACAAGACAAAATGGGTGAGAATCGTTGGCCTACAGAAATTCCCTTAAATGCCGAAATGCATTTGTTGACACTCGTCGACATTCGTGGGGACCTATGGATTCTGCCAAATCGCTGTAAAATAAAGCGCGCAATGGCTCTGGTAAATTAGTCAACGAACGTTTTTAGGCATTCACCTACACAACACAATCCTGGTGTCCCCGAATGAGACTTTGACGTAATATAATATTGGCAAATCGTATCCGTGGGCTCGGTTTAGTCACTGGCGCTACGTTGTAATTGCACACTTACGGAACTTCTCATTTGACGGTGTAGAACGCGTTCCTGTCGCAATCGTTCAGTAGCTGCGTGCCTTTTTCATTCTTTCTGAGTTCGACTAGCACGAATCGTCAATGTCTCCCGAACACTAAGGTCGTGCACGCGTTACCGTATTAGAAGCGATCGAGCCATAAGCGCGAAAGAAAAGGAAGCGCCAAATATTTTTATTTGGCGTATTTTCTATAAAAATTTTATAATTTTTGCACAAACAAATAATTTCTTCATATATTTACATCAGCCGTAAATGGTACCGCATAGAACTTACAAGGCAAAAAAGAAATACAACAACAGAAAAACTACTCAAAGTGGACCATCCATTCTCAAGTTATGCGCGGTCTGACGTAGGCAGCTTTGGCATATATACTAGCTACATACAAATATATATTTATTTTAATAAGAATCGGAGGTTATATTCGATGTAAAAAAGCTGGTTTCAATTAAAAAATGAATGCAAATACTACCATGCACTAGTATGAAAACTATTTTGTGGAATTTCGCTACTTTTTGAAGGTGCTTGAATTCTTCATCTTTTCTTCTTGCTTCCAAAAAACATCCCTGTAGGTGGGAGTGTCAAATTTTAGAAAAAAGCTACCTAAAAACTTTTGATAACTGAATTATGAGCCAGAAGAGTAACGTGATAAGGAAAGATCTTCAAATAATAAATGCGGTCCTGTGCTGAAAAGTACATTGCCTCTATGTAGGTGATGCTACCCATTTCAATTTTAGCAATGCATTTTTTTGAAATGCAAGTTACGCTCCCAAGGCCTCTTATATTATAATTTTGAAAGCGGCCCTTAGCTTGCCTAAACTACAATTGTTATAGAAATGAAAAAATATAAATTATATGTATATATATCTAAAATTTAGATTAATTGAAAATGCAAATACCTTCAGGCATATTCAAAATAACTTTAAATAATTGAGCAGCATGCTCTTTTATTGTTGCATATGATCA